TCTCTCACGCGCTCTGCTCCGCTTATCCCGCCCCCCCCCCGTCCCTCTCTCCCTTTGGTCCTGTCACGCGCAGCGGCGTCACGCGCGAGGGGCGCCCCCGGAGTCTCGAGGACCGGAGGATCGTCCGCGCGCTGCCCGAAGCCCCCGCGCGACCCACGCTCGTGCAGCCCGGTAGGTGGCGCGTGCCGGACCCCTAGGCGGGGCGGGCGAGCTGCGCCTCCGGGCCAGTCCCGTCCCAGGCTTGGCTGGAGCCCCTCTGTGTCCGGGCGTCCCCAGCAACACCCGACGGGCGCGCTGCGGCGGGATGGACTCGGGTTTCTGTCTCGGAGCCACAGCTCGACATCTTCCCTCCCAGACCTAGCAGGGGAAGAATCCCGCTGCTGAACATCCGTGCCCCGGCCAGGGCCCCTGGTGATCCAGCCCTCTGTGTGTCTCAGTAGCCCTCCTTCACTTGGCCAGTGGAAGGAGGCTCACTGGCAGGTGTCGGGCAGCCCTTGCAAGCTCTCTCCGGTTCCCTGCTCACCGTCGCCTGCCCAAGTGGTTTTTGCTCAGTCACTTGGGACTGGTGCTCAAATTCCTGGAAGGCCCAGTATGCCATCATAGCTATTTCCACAAAACCTCCAGCCAGCCTGGTGTCCAGCGCAAATGGTCAATCTGAAGAGGCGCTGCTGCAGGGGGGTGTTGAGTGTGGGGTGCATCATGGGTTTTTTAAAGGAGGAGAGGGGTCCCCTTGAACTTAGTTAACTGAAACCTCAGCTCAAATGTAGATGACTTTTTTTCACCTCTAAAAAGGCATGAACCTAACAGTGGGAAAAAATCACTGAAAATATTAGCACAGTGGGGGTTAAAGGCTGCTTAAGGTCAGCGGACCCACTGTGTAAAATCGACACCTTCTCTAGTCCGAATATCTGCTCTCGGGGTCTTTCAGTCAAATCTGCTCATTTCACTGGCCAAAACAAGAGCTGACTGCAGAGCTAGTGTATCACTGTCGGAGAGCGAGGTGGGTTCTAATATGCCTCACGTATCTGCCACAATATGTCCAGCCAAGATCTGATTGCAAACTCCTTCATTTGGGATGTCGAAGGCAGAGGGAGTAGAGGGACTGGCAAAGCCAAGGTGGAGTTTCAGTTGGAAGCAGATAGAAAAATCATCTTTTGGCTGGTGAGCTGAGGATAGATGGGAATCTGCAGGTCACAGTGGGAGTATAAGTAGAGAACTCACGGTATAGTTTTTACTGTCACTTTTTGGACTATAACTTCACTTTCAGATTTTGAAAGTGGATGAAATGTGGGAGGGAAATTACTCATAAAATCAGCCTTTCCCCCACCACCTGTGGTAGCTTAGCAATAGTTAGTTACCTGTTCATTTTCCCTCCCTCTCCCCATTGGTGTCACTTCAGGCATCCATTACATTAGCCAGGGTTTTATGTAATTTCCTGTGACACCTTTGGAAGTTGATCCTGGCAGCTTTGGTCCCCACTCAGATAGCTCAGTAAGTGCCAAGGTGAAGAATGCAGGGTCATTTGTTGTGCATGGGTAATATGGAAATTTCACTGGCATAATCAGCCTTTGAAGAAGTAGGTGCTACTGGTAGAGAATGGATAAACAGGCATCTAGATTGAAGGATCTTCTGCCATATTTCAAATCCCAACCTGATCGGTGTTTCCTGACATGGGGGACTGGTTCCTTTTCCACCACTTTTCTCTCTGCCATTCTTCATTACAAGACTGGGATGAATGACATCCCATTCTTAGATGTACATTTCCCCGCTTCCCACACAAAACTACTGTTATCCACTGTGTGTGGGAGGGGGTGGGGGTGATTAAAGTTATTTATAAAAGATGTCCAGAAATGAAGCTGAGGAAGAGACTACCTGTTTAATTCCAGGGTATGAGGAGGAAGTCATACCTCCTGTCACTGAAAGGTTCCCCCCCTCTAGATGATTAAGGGGGATGTTGAGAGGCTCCGTGAAGAGGATAGTGGACATGACGAGATGGGAGCTGGCAATCAAGTGAAAGAAAGGGGAAAAAATGCTCAAGGACTTGACAAGGAAATGGAGATGCCAGGGAGGTTGCAGAAATGTTGAGTTGTAGGAACATGACCAAAAAAGACAGGTAGAACTGAAATCCATGAGTGCATCCCCTCAGCATGTAGGATAAACCCACCTGATCCCTCCCCCTCAAGGCTTTAGAAGATGGATGAACTTACAAGATCCCTAAAAAAAGGAGTACTCGTGGCACCTTAGAGACTAACAAATTTATTTGAGCATAAGCTTTCATGAGCTACAGCTCACTTCATCGGATGCATTTGATGAAATGAGCTTTAGCTCACGAAAGCTTATGCTCAAATAAATTTGTTAGTCTCTAAGGTGCCACAAGTCCTCCTTTTCTTTTTGCGGATACAGACTAACATGGCTGCTACTCTGAAACCTTCCAAGATCCATGTGAATAAGACTGGAGAAGGGAGATTCCTTCCCAGTCTCAGATCTGACAGTTTGTTGTTTATCCCTGTGCATGTGAGTGAGAATCACTGGTGGTTTGATATCTAGTCCTGTGAATCTGAGGTGATAAAAAATGTGATTCATAGGGTTGAAATGAATATCGTGTTCACTCTTACACTTCCTGCTGACTTGCTCTGTACTAGCGGGGTGGGGGGAATCTTGGTAGCTGAGGGAAATGATCTGACAGGTTAAGTAGGGGAAAAGCAGTCCCACATATGCACTCTTATGCAAATTTGATTTGGTTGATTGCTCCAGTATAAAAAAATCAACAAGAACTGTATGAAATCAGTCAGTATGGTACCAAATTAGCTAAAACCCTCAACATGTCATAGAAATCAGAGATGGAAGCAATCTGTCAGGTCACGTCCGGTCCATTCCTCCACTGTGGTTTATGCAGAATTGTTCACTACAGCACATTTTCCAGGGCATTGTCCAGTTTTGAATAATAACTGAGTGAGGCGTTTTCATCACTTTGCTTGGGAAATGGTGCTATAGTCTAATACTGCAGATATCCCTGTTACAAAAAGGTGTATTGATCGCCATCTTAAATTTCCCCTTTGCTGAGATACTTCCTATTGCTCTTTGCCATATTCCTGGATCATCCTTAATAATTTCTCTCCCTGCTTACTGTTTACACCCTTCACATTTCATTTTCTCACAGTCGTCTCATCCTTAAGAAGGCATTTGCCTTAGTTAATTTTATGCTATATGATATTTTAATTAGGTATATTCCTGGGTGACTGGCAGTCAGATCCAGCTGAGCCAGCTATTTTGGGATATCCGTAAGGGATTTTCAGAAACTCTTTGAGTGGTACCCCTGCAGAGCTGTTTAGACTCAATGACTTGCCTTAATCACTCCCACTGTTTTTAGCTTCAGGAGAAACTGTGGTAACCTTCCCCCATGGAGTGTAACACAGTCTTACATAAACCATTCATAAATGTAATACAGTGGCCCCCAAAGATACTGCAGTATCTGTCACAGTGTCATTTTCAAGTGCTCAACATTGGCCTAATTCTACTCCTGTTGAAGTCAATGGTCATTTTACCATTGACTTTAGAGGGAGAAGAGTTAGGGCAATGCTGAGTGCTTTTGAAAATCCAACCCTAAATAGGTCTCCATTGTAACTTCTGCCTAACTGCAGATGCTTTCTGTGCTTGTCTTGCTTTCCAAGCCTCTTCTCTTGTGATTGAGGATTTTTGTTTTGGTCACCAAAATGTATGATGATCAGAAATGAAAATTAAACCAAAAATCCCCTGCACAAAATGCAGAGCTGGCACGTGCAGGTACAATCTCTGCTGTCTTCGGTGGGGGTTGGTCCTGCTTGGGAAAGGGCTGAATTTGGTCTCCTTATTTTACCCTTGCTTGCAAAACACTTAGGACAGTGTTTTGGTAAGAGGAGGGGACTGGGAGTCCAAAAAGATGGTTCTGTCCCTGGCTCTGACACATGTCCTGTGTGATCTTGACCAAATCACCTCTCTATAAATTTGCTTTAAATAGGGAGACTAATACTTTCTTGCCTTGCAGGGGGCCCCTGGGAATGGATTTGTTACTGTTTGTAAAATACTTTGTGCTATGAATGGTGACAGTTGCAGGAATTATAGTGCTGGAGAATGGGTCAGTAAGGTTAAGATTTTTGTCATGGATATTTTTAGTAAAAGTCATGGACAATAATGCAAAATTAAAGGAAGCCCATGACCTGTCCCTGGGGAGTGAGCTGGGAACTCCAGGAGGCTTGGAGCTCCAGGGTCCCCCTCCGCTTGTGGCTCCAAGCTGCGGGGCTCCTCCCTCCCTCCCACTCCGGCTGGGAGCTGTGGGGGTCCACCTGGCTTCCCGTGGCCACAGAGAGCTCTGTGGGTTCCCCCCTGCTGCTTGTGGTGGCTGGGAGCTCCATGTGTCCCCCCCCCGTCACCCACGGAAGCAGAGAGTTCCAGGAGTACCCCGCCACATGTGGCAGCCGGGAGAAGCGAGAGTCCTCTTGCCACCAGCGGCGGCCAGGAGCAGTGATGGTCTCCTGCCGCCCGCGGCGGCTGGGAGCGGCAGGGATCTCCCTTGCCGCCTCCCACAGCCGGGAACGGTGTCCAGGAATGGTGGGGGTCCCCCCTGCTACCACGGCAGCTGGGAGTGGTGGGCGGTGCCAACCGGCTTGGGGCAGCCGGGTTACCCCACGATTCCCAGCATCCACAGGCAGCAGAGGACCCTGCAGTTCCCAGCCGGTGCTGGCTGAAGTCACAGAGGTCTTTGGAAGTCACGGACTCCGTGACTAAATCACAGCCTTACAGATCAGACATAGTACAAGCAGCAGCCATGCAAACTTCCCCACCCTCTTTTGCCAAGTGCCTCATCTCTGATGTGAATGTAGCAACTCTGGGAGATTTTGGTCTCTATAACCCATTCAGCTCTTGGCCTCTCTGTTGAGACTAACAAGGCAGATAGTTAATGCCAGTGGTGATGGGTTTTGTGTCTGCGTAAGTTGAGTGCTTCTTGTTTTGCCTTTCTTAAGGGTATATTGGTTTGAAAAGGGAACATCACAAGCAACCCAAGAGTGAATTCGGATAAGAAAAATCAGCTGTTCAAGGTAAGTCACTTTTAGGCCCACCTTTTAGGCCCACTCTATGAACACTTCACATCAGTTTAGATGCATTGCAGCCAGCAAATGATCTGAAGTCAGAGACCAAGTCAAATGAAAAGCAGAAGTTAAAAACATGAATATGTTAATGAGAATTTTTAAAAAAAATCCAGTCCCCCCCCAACCAGTGCAGTCTGAATGCCTTTGTTTGTACACACTGGGAGACTAGAGAACATCCCAGTGCAATCTGGGGGCAAAGATGGTGCTTGACCAGGGCAGAGTGGGGCATAATTGGTGCTGAACCTTACAAAGTAGATTGCCAAACTGGGGCAAAGCAGGGTACTAAAGGGCAGGACTAGGCATTAAAATAGGGCAAAGCTATGTTCTAAACTGGATGCAGGAGGGGTGTAAATGAGGATGGAGTGGCCTGGGTCCTTTTAGTTAGGTAATCTCTACAAGTCTCCTTATGTCTGATCAGTTTCATGTTGTCACTCACCTTAATCCATCTACATCTGTTTCCCTCCCCCTTCTCCAGCAGCCATGCCCCACTTCTTGGATTGGTTTGTGCCAGTGTATCTGATGATCTCCATTCTCATCTTGGTGGGCTTCGGAGCTTGCATATACTACTTTGAGCCGGGCCTACAGGAGGCCCACAAGTGGCGGACGCAAAGGCCGATCATGGAACGAGATCTTCGGAAAACACTGATGATACGGGATAACCTTGCCTTTGGGGTGCCTGAGGTCTAGTATTCTGCATGTGGGGTGTTTCTAGAAAAACACCCAAACAGAGCCTTTTCTGGGTGGGCCCTGGCTAACAAGGTTTGGTCTGGATGCACGTTTCTCCTCACTCAGGAGAGAATCTACTGTCTGGTGACTGAAGAAGGGTAGTTTCACTCTTTGCTGACACAGGTCTCTGTTAATCACCAGAGTTACCTCTTTTTTTCCTTCTTCTTCTCCATTTCTGAAGCAAGGTTTGTGCTCCTCTGTTAACTCAAGGCTTTCAGGTCTACCCTAGACAAGATACTCATTACTCAGCAAAGGATCTCCTGCACCACTCCATGGCCTGGATTTTTAGATCCACCAAAGGTAAAGGTCTCTGTTATTCATTATCCATTAGAGGATACCTGCACCTATACATTACCTTTTTAAAAAAATTCTTATGGGCACCAGATGATAACAAATAGACTTGATATGGGACATAGATCCTTTTACTGCTAGGTCACTGGTTTAAATCTAGCCCAATTTGCTAGGATCTGAAAGGTGTTATCATCAAATACCTCTTTGGTGACTTACGTAAAATGAATTTGGAGGCTCTCAGTCCAGTTCTTCATGGACAACTGTGCACATCACAGAAATCACCAATGCCACTGAATTGCCATCTGTGCTGGGAGTCTCATTAGAGATGCCATGGATTGAATGAGCCATGGAGAGTGAATTCCCTACTCACCCCTAGAGGTGATTTTCCTAGCTCAGGAGTGAGACACACAGGACGGGCAATGGGAGTAAAGATTGCTTTATTGGTGCTCATGTTGTACCTGTTTGGGGGATAGAGGACTTCAGTCTCCAGGGCTGTCAATCTGGTACTTTTATAGAATCATAGAAGATTAGGGTTGGAAGAGACCTCAGGAGGTCATCTAGTCCAACCTCCTGCTCAAAGCAGGACCAACTTTCATGAGCACTAAATTCTTGCACGCAATTTTCAGTTAAGGAGGTCTGTGTGGATCCTGCCAGGAAATGTCTTGCACCTCTCCTTGACCCAGGGCTCTGGATTTATCATGACTAGACGTTGGATCTTCTTCACCTGTCCATGACCCAGGGATCGAGGGTCCTTTATTATGAGTAGACTTGCACTCGTACAGTCGTCTGTCCTACAGCATTTTTTGAAATGGATCCCTTAGTGCATCAGTTCTGGTGCTGCACCCTCTTGACTGTCATCCACACTGAAAACTGTGAAATGCTCCTTGGAGAACCCTTCACTGTGAATCTCCGGTAAGGGATGCTGAGCCAGGTGGAGATGGGGCACTACTAATGACTGTGCTTTCTAGATCCCACCTGTGAAGCATATAATGTGTATACGTACACTGTTTTTGCACTTTCCTCCATGCTTTCCTAGGGCTGATTTGCTAACAAAGTACTGTAAGAAAATGTGACTCCATGGGAGAGTGGGAATCCAGCACCTTTTTCTTCATTGCGAATAGCGTGCAAATCGTAGCTGATAACACTGGCCCAACTCCGAGCCTAGGACATGAGGTATTCCCCAGCAGGTACTACTGTGCCACACCTGCTTAGAACTCTAGTAAGACACTGGCTCCTGTTCCATGGTGCTTTGTATCTCTGCTGATCCATCATGACCCTGGCTGTTTCTCACTTTCTATGCTAACATGTCCCTAATACCCCATTGTCCTCATTTCTATACGTAATATATTATAAAACTCCAGTCTTGACCAATCATGCCCAGTTATCTACATTCCATACAGTACCACTGTCAGTGCATTCCATACCAGTGCAGCACAGCCATGGCCACCTTTTGATATATCCTGCTGCATATTTGCCGTTGTTGCCCTATCGGCCACCCTTCTGTACATTCTGTACCATTGTAACACAGTCCCTGCTGCCCTATTGTGCACATGTCTGTACATTCCATACCATACACAAAGTGCTGCTGTTTTGTACATACTTCAGTACATTCCATACCATCAGACTGCTCTTGGTGCTGGTTCAGTGCCGCGCTCCGTGATGGCTCCAGTGTGCAGCAAGAGCCATTAGACGCAGGGGTGCAGACAGGCTCCTCCCCCATCATGGCTCTTGGATCAGCTCACAGCATATATAGTCCCTAGGATGAGAGTTTTGGAGCCAGTGATAATTTTCACTGGAAACTGATGACAGAGCTTTTTCATCCATTACTGAATGAAGGATGGAGAACATATTATGTCGATTTAAGTGGGTGACTTGTCATTGCGGGTTGCTTGGGGAATAACGTTTATGTTAGCAGTGATGGCTGTAGTACAAATGGAAACTGTCCTCAGCGCCTGGCAAATGTCGTTGGCCTTTATTGGCCATTTCATCTGCCCTGGTCAGATGAGGCATCATCACCAACACCAAGGTCCCAACTGGTGGGACCTTCTTGGGTCTGTCAATGTGAGACAGTTGAGTCCCTACATTCAGACTGGAACATGGTGATCTTGATGCAGATATCATAACATGGGCCCTGATTCAGTAAGGTACTGAAGCATGTGCCTAAATGTACGCACACGAGTTATCCTACATCAGTGGTTCTCAAACTTTTGTACTGGTGACCCCTTTCACATAGCAAACCTCTGAGTGCGACCCCCCCCTAATAAATTAATACTTTTTAAATATATTTAACACCATTATAAATATTGGAGGCAAAGCGGGATTTGGGGTAGAGGCTGACAGCTCGCGACCCCCACATGTAATAACCTCACCACCCCCTGAGGCGTCACGACCTCCAGTTTGAGAACCCCTGTCCTACATGCTTCAGTACCTTGCTGAATCAAGGCTGTGAAGGTGCAAATGTCACAGTGCAACATCACCGTATCATCCGGTAATGATTTTGTTCCTCAGTATGAATACAGATAAATGGCAGCCCTCAATTACATTGACAATATCTATTGCCCAAAGGTCACTCAAAATAATAAAGCCATAGTCTCTGAGTTCAACTTAGAGACCTGCTTCTTGGGCCTTGACTGTTGTAACGTGGTGGCTAGGCCACCAATGCAAATGGACCCCAGGTTGAGCAATGGGGTAGCAATAAAAACCTTTGTACTAGAGGTCAGGAGCTCAGAGATGTCAGGGACAGATTAAAATATCCCCGTAAGACCGAGGTTCCATGTTTTGAAAAGACTCAAGATAAGGAAATCTCTCTCTCTCTCTCTCTCTGGTGTTCCCAGTTTCTCTCTCTATGAAAGAATCCATATTACTGTGTGTATGGCAGTCATCCCACAGGTGGAGTCTGCCCTCCAGAGATGGCTGGGAGCCAGTTCAACCACCCACTTACAGTCATGGGTCTAACTGTTCCTACGGAAAGGGTCAGGAAGGACCGAACCATAGAGACTGACCTCTCCTCTCCACCACGGGCGATCCCTCCAGCCCTGGATGGATGTACGTTGTCAGGAAGTGATGGGGAGTTTGTACTGTGCTCCAACTCTGTGTCTGTGTGTAGGTGGGAGGGACTCCGGTCTCCAGGAATGTTACCAGCATGAACTCCACAATCGCTCTTGTATTTCACCAGCAGAACACTCACCTTCATAAACTAAGTCAAAAGAAAAAAAAATAAAAGGGAAATGAGTGATTGAGTCTTGTGCCAATGCTCCGTGGGATGTGGCAGGCAGAATGACTGTCTGGAACAGCCCCCACCTTCAGTGTGCGGGGGAAGCCCTATCTGTGTGTGCCTATTCTGGCTCGCAAAGGAATCCCCGTAGACCCCACTCTCTAGGAAACAGTCCTGCTGGAGTAGGGGCTGGACCAATTGGCCCGTCATTTCTCTCTCTGTATCCTCTGGGCCTCTTTCCTGTTCTGTGCCATTTTCTGTGTGTAGTCTCAAGTGTTTTAATTCCACCTCTCCCAGGCCCTGGATTAACTGGATGAAATTGACCAGAAAGAAAATTAATTGTCTGAAATTGAAGAGAAAACATTTCCCAACAGTGGGATCCATTAGGTCTTGGAATAGTCTTCCAAGGGAATTGGTAGAAGCCCTGTCACTTGGGACTTGTTAAAGCTAGACTGGACAAGGCCTTGGAGACTCTAGGGAACAATCCTTCATGGGCAGGGGGATGGCCTACGTGTGATCTAGCAAGTATCTGCATCTTTAACTTGTATGATACCTCTCTCTGTTCATCTGTCTGATACACCAGTACTGTGAACACCCCACCTTTAGCCTAAGAGCTAAAAGAAACAGAAGCGCCAAATCTCTGTTTGATGTTGTTTTGCAGTGTGTGTTTTGCACTGTCTGGTCCTGATGAAATTAGCATTAACAGTCAGGTGTTTTCCACTGTTACTTTGTACTTTATTCTCATTCGAGTCAAAAGTCTATATAATAAGTGTATGTAATAAAATATGTATAGAGACATGAGTTTTCTGGTGCTTTATTGTCCTTGAGGTTTATTTTTATCATCATATTTTGGGGTGCTTTTTATTCTCTCTGGGATTAAACAGGTTACCAAATATGAAGGAATTGGAGTGCAGGGGGAATGTTTCCCTACCCTCTGCCTTAGAGGTCTGTTAGCAGGGATCTTCGTGATATTTTTTGACCTTCAGTACAAGGCCTATGCACCACTTAAGCCCCTATGGGCCTTAAGAGGGACTTAAGTGGTGCATAGGCTTTGTACTGGCCCCTTGCACAAGGGAGACTCATCCATCGAGCTCAGAGCAGGGATCACTCAGAGTAGGTGTTTTGAATCCTTCATTATCATTCTCCCATGACTTCAGATGTGGGAAGTGGTAGAATTCAGACCTTCATCTTTGCCGCTGTCACCATTTGCACATCTCCCAATGATGCTAATGGTGAAGATATTTGCCTGAGGCAGGAGCAGAGAACCCATATAACTGAGCATCCCAGTTAACTAAGCAGGTATGAGAGGCATAGATATAAGAGGCTAAAGTATGGGACAGGGAATTGGGAGATTCCTACCTCTGACTTCCTGTGTGGCCTTGGACAAGTCACTTAACATCTCATTTTCATCCTCTAGGCTGGTAGGATTAGTTGATGGCTGTGCCATATGTCATTGGAAAGGTAATTTTCTCGACTGTGCAATTGCATCTCAGAGTTGACCTGTGGTCTTGATGTCACAATATTGTGGCCATTCTTAATGTGCTAGCTCCTAGAACAGGTGTCTCCAGTGGTAATTGACAGGCGGCAACAATATTTGAACAATATTCCTGAGGGAGAAAGAAAAGGAAGCTGTAATCTCTCCTCTAACATCAGGCAGTCACAGCCCGCTCAAGACGTCAGGTAAGGATGTTTGTAGTTAATGCAGGCCAATTCTTTATCTCAATCGTTTCAGTATTGGATGGTCTGAGTATATCTTGGAGTAATTAAGCAGAAGGAAAATTGCTGGCTGTCAGGAAATATTTCCTCCCAGTGAGAGAGAGCCAACTGTGGATGTTCCTCTCAAGGGAAGGGGGATAGCCTCAGTGCTTGGAACATTTATAACTAAACTGGAAAAAGCACTAGAGAAAGAAATGATAGGACTGGAAATAATGCTGCGCTGGCCACAAGAGAGGAGTGGACTAGATCAGTGATTTTCAAACTTTTTTTCTGGCGATCCAGTTGAATAAAATTGTTGATGCCCGCAACCCAATGGAGCTGGGGCAGAGGGGTTTGGGTTGTGGGAGGGGCTCAGGGCTGGGGCACAGGATTGGGGTGCGGGGGTGAGGTCTGTGGAATGGGGCCAGGAATGAGGATTTTAGGGTGTGGAAGGGGGCTCTAGGCTGGGGCAGGAGGTTGGGGTGCGGGAGGGGGTCAGGGCTCTGGGCTGGGGGTGCAGGCTCTGGGGTGGGGTTGGGAATGAGGGGTTTCGGGTGCAGGAGGGGGCTCCAGGTTTGGGGGGGGCTCAGGGCTGGGGTTGGGGTGCAGGAGGAGGGCAGGGTTCTGGGCTGGGAGTGCAAGCTATGGAGTTGGGCCGGGGATGAGGGGTTTGGGGTACAGGAAGGGGCTCCAGGTTGGGAGCCTTACCTTGACTAGCTCCCGGTCAGCGGCGCAGGGCGGGTGCTAAGGCAGTCTTCCTGCCTGTCCTGGCACTGCGGACTGCGCTGCGCCCTGGCAGCAGCCTGCAGCAGGTCCGGCTCCTAGGTGGAGGCATGCAAGCAGCTCCGTGCGGCTCTCACCCGCAGACACTGCCCCCCCCCCCCAGCTCCCATTGGCCGGGAACGGGCCAATGGGAGTGTGGAGCCAGTGCTTGGGGCGGGGGCAGCCTAGGAGCCAGACTTGCTGCTTGCCACTTCCGGGGTGCAGCGCAGTGTCAGAATAGGTAGGACCTAGCCTGCCTTAGCAGGGCAGCACTACCAACGGGACTTTTAACCGCCTAGTCGGCGGTACTGACCAGAGCTGCTGGGACCCAGTATTGGGTTATGACCCACGGTTTGAAAACCACTGGACTAGATTATCTAATAGTTCTATTTCCATCTCAAATTTTTTCTCATAGGACCATAGAAATTAATCAACATAATATTCACTTAGAAAACCAGTGCTTGGTAATATTTTCTCTCTGCCCCTACCTCTGCAGGTGCTGGTTTAATGTAAATCCAGGCATTCAATAACTAGCAATCCAGTTATCACCATTATAGTTGGTAATTGGTTACACTACAAGGAGTACATTTCTCTCCTTATTTTCCATGTGCTGAATCCTGGTCCAGGAATCTAAAACTTCTCTTGTGTTGGAGTATTTGTCATGAAAACAGCCTGCAGGAACTCCGAATCACCATAGCTTTAGATTGTTGGTCTATCTATTCAGAAGGGTCAGTCTGACTATACGACTGGGTTGCCATGGCATACTTTTGCCTCCTTATTTTCTTTCCTTTTTGTTTCTGTTTTTCTATGTATCTTGCTTTGTGGATTGACTTTATGGAACACAAAAGATGAAATAAAAAGACTGCATTTAAAAAAGGGCCTGCAGTTGTACTAATGCAACAAGCCGCAATTGCACCAGTGAAGTAAGGCTGGGAGTGGCCAATACTAGGATGAGACAAACAAAGGTGCTGATGATTCAGCAGGTAGCACTGAACCAATGCTGCAGCAGGCTCCCAGGGGTGCTGTGCTGCTGGAAGTTGTGTATTTCCATGGAGACATGGAATCAAGCTTCAAAATACTTGGCACTTTTCATAAGGAAAGTGTTACTAGCTCAGATACTCTAGCCAAATTCCAATGTGGGTAATTACATTCTGCTCACCTACAATAACCCCCAGGCAGAAAGCTTATGCTCAAATAAATCTGTTAGTCTTCAAGGTGCCACCGGACTCTTTGTTGATTTTCAGACAGAAAAGTTATTCTTCACATCCCCTTCTAAAATACCTATTATGTTGTTGTTAAATAGCTGTTAGGTTGCACCCCAGCCATGGCTGCACTGGTAGGGGGAATGCATGATTTCTGTATATATCATTGATGAAACACTTTGGGACCCTTCTGGATTAGAGGTGCCACAATAATAACAATTAATAAAATATGGTTGAAAATTGTATTTATTCATGAAAAGATACCCTTTTTAAAACCCAGAAAAGGAAAAAAACAAAAATTTAAAATTTTGAACATTTTAAACTTTTCAAAAATATTTTTACTAAATAAATACATAAAATACATTTTGTTCTGTTTTGACTTGTGTGCAACAGAAACAACTGAAAATGTTCACAAAATTGTTCCTTTAATAAAAATGATCATAGTGTGCCGTCTCAGTAATACATGGAGTATAGAGGTTATTGTATCGATACATAGAAGTGCAGCATGTTTTGATAATTTCACCTGTCTCTGCGGAATCCAAACCTCTGATTATGCCATGTGGATGGACTCAGCCTTGGCCAGAAATGCAGCGTTAGGGATGCAAGAATGTGCTAGGGTCACAGGGCAGGAATGGCTGTAATGCTAAGATTTCAAGCCTTTCAGGCCCTCCACAAACAGTTCATTGTTCTACCCCCTGCTGCTCTTGTGTCCTGTCAATGCTGGATGTGGGTAGGGGAGGGGATGATGATGGTGATGGGGGTTACTCCCAGTTACTGTAAGTAGGTCAGAGGCTGGAGGTGGTCCAGGATGCTCAGCCGAGGCTTTGAAGCTAGACTCAGGCAAGGCACACTGCTTGAAGAGAGAAGCCAAGCCAAAGGGACCCAGAAAACCAAACAAGGGCAAAGTATAACAGGAAGAGGCTTATACACATTGATAGGGAATATATTTAAAAGCACCCTCTGTACAGGGCTGCTAGGGCACTTGTAACCCAACCAGCTGCACTCACTGCTATTCCAGTCTCAGGATCCCCCAACAATACATGCAAATCCGACAGCTCCCCTTCTTATCAATCCAGTGCCCGGCACTCACAGCCCTGGCGATGCATCTCTTTGTAAACACCCAGTTCTGGCCCTTCTCATGGTCCTGCTTCATCTCATGTTACTCCAGTCCTGGGGACCCCCAGTTCACGCAGCTCTGCCAGTGCACCTCTGTCCTGACCTACCCAGCCTCATTCTTTGCCAGTCCCTCGCACAGGCCCTGACTTTGGAGGAAATTGGTGGGAGTTTTCAGGAATGCTGACAAACCAGATGGAAGCAAAGGTCTCACCATTCAGTACAAAAGCAGGATGGTAGAGAATGGAGGGGAATCCAGACACTTGCATGTTCCCTTCCAAACATCTTTCTCAGATTCACACACCATTATGTTAATCTCCACAACCAGAGTGAAGATTGAGAAACCCACAGCCAAAAAGGGCATTGGGAGATCCAGAACCAAGATTAAGAGTCTCAGTGTCCTTGCTAGAGCTTGGCTTGAATCAGGGAAGAGAACCATGGCACCTTGGCTTAAGATTGTGTAATAGTTCATAGATTAAGCAGGGCTGGGGCTGGGCGGTGCTAAATTGGTGAGAAAATCCCCAAGGAAAACCCAGGGACCGCAGGAAATGCCAGGACCTGAGCAGGTGACATAGTTCAATCTTAGGTAGTATATTTGCAATGTCCCAGTGTGTTGCTAGGGGATGCTGTGCTGAAGGAGGTGCTGTTTTTCAGATGAGATATAAAACCGAGGCACTGAAGCACTCATTCTCTTTAAAGATCCTATGGCAAAATTTGCAAGATTGAGGTGTTAACCCTAACCTCCCAGGTATATTCTAACTTTGATCAGTGCATTCTGCTGGTCTAAAATAATCTTCCTTTGGTGTCAGGTGAACATGGTTATCCTCAAATTGTCATGCAGAGTTGCTGGCTCAGAATGTCTGCAACATTCCTCCCCAGCAGAGGTTAAGGTAAGAGAGAATGTTGGGTGGGAGAGATATAGGGCAAAACACAGCTCCCCCTTCTCTCCTTGTCTTGGTGGAGCAGCAGCCCCTGACTACTCCCTCTCCTTCTTGACTGGAGCTCCCCTTCCTGTTTCAATCTA